GATAATAAGGATTCCTAAACCTAAAGGAATAAGCCCATATTTAGCACCTCCTTTAGGTCCCTATTGTAGCCTATAAATACACTAGGTCCCCTAACCTCTTGGACATGTTTTTTACACGTTTTTTCTCCCCGAAGGGCTGGAGAAATTCGGCCTCTTCAAGCGAGAAAGAAAGAGAGAGATTCTTCTTCGAAAGAAAAATCGGTTAGCACCGTAAGGTCCTAGAAGAAGATGATCAAGAGGTTTTGGGAAATCTAATAAATCTTGGCCGCTCCACCAAGATTTATTAGAGATCGTGTAAAGGTCATACAATAGAAGATCGAAGGTTGTTATTTCGTATCCATCGAATAAATATATTTCCCAGATCCGTTCTCTGTTCATTGAAATCAAGCGTTGAATTGACGCAACACCTTGTGTAGCGCGATGGTGTGCGGCGCTGTCTTCTCCATTCGAGGTCGCGGGTTCGATCCTTCTCCTTGCGAAAATAGGACAATTTTTTGCTCTAGGCGAGCGGGCTTTCAGGCCCGCATAAGGCCCGCGCGCGGCCCGCAGTCCTCACCCAGTCTTCAGCCCGCGCAGCCCGCGAGCAGCCCGGTGCCAGCATGCGTGCTCCCAGCTGCCTCTTGGCCCAAACGCGCGTGTCCCGGCCCAATTGCAACGTACCTCCGCGGCCCAAATAGCTGAAGCGCGGCCCAGACACTTGGATATCAGTTCCAGACCGGTCCAAGTGAGCCCAGCAACTCCAGCTCGAGCCCAGCGCGTCTCCAGGCGGTCCAAACCACTCCAGATTGCGACCAGTGAGCCCAGATCCGGTCCAGGAGCGGTCTAGCAGGTCCAGCAGCTCCGGTTCGAGTCCAAGATGGTTCCCGAGCGAGTCCGAAGAGTCTAACTCACCTACCGAAGGTCAGAAACGATCCGATGAGCTTGATGAGCGCGATTGGAACACCATGGTGACTCGATTAGAATCGAGAAAGGCCAAGTCTAGCCACCTATTAGACTTTGGTGTTCAGACGATCTTCATCAACGGAAATCAGAAACGTCTTAGAGTCGGCAAAATTTTTTAAACCGTAAGTCCTAATCCTAACTATAGATTCCGC